ACGGGGGAAAAGTGATGGGGATGGTGGCAGCCAGTTCATGTGCTAACAACTGCTGCTACTCCGCTCTGTCTATTCATTTTATTTATTTATTTAAAATATTTATATGCCACCTTTCTCCCCACAGGGCACCCAAGGCAGCTGACAGCAGGAAAAAAAACACATTTAAAGGACACTCTGTGAACGCCTGGCCTGGGCACCGCTTCCCACCTTGCGAGTTCAAGTTCAGACCCAAAAAAAAAAAAACCACATTTAAAGGACACTCTGTAAACACCTGGCCTGGGCATCGCATCCCACCTTGTGAGTTCACGTTTGGGGGAGAAAGGGAAGGAATAAGTCAACCACTGGGGCTTTGAAACCGGGCACACAGGGAAGAAGCACAAGCAGGCAGGGACATTTCTCATCTGGGGGCAAGATTTATGTACAGGTAGATGTTAACTCAGATACTGGCTCACCAGCAGCCTATTCTCAGATTCCACAGTTCAGTTTGGGAATGGGGGAAGGAGGGAGAGAGAGAGAGAGATCCCACACCTCGGGGTGGAAAGGTGCCACTTATATTTGTATAAGTGGCACCTCTCCAACCTGAGGGGTGGGATCTCTCTCTCTCTCTCTCCCTCCTTCCCCCATTTCCCAAACTGAATTGTGGAATCCGAGATATATGTATAAGTGGCACCATAGGGGTTGAGTCAGTGTTTGAGTTAGTACCCACTGGTAGGTCTATGTGTGAGTGCTTGCTTTGTTGCATCTCTTTCTCTCTCACTCTCTCTCTCTCTCTCTGATTTCATGAATATCCACTTTTGCTCCCGCTCTGCCCACCGTGTCTTTCCACCCCACCCACCGTCACAGGCGTAAGCCACAAGTGTGTGTGCTATTAAACCTTTTTGCCACTATAGGGGTGGGGGAGCTTACCTGTCTTCAACTTGTTCAACCGTGTCCGGGAGAGGGGTGTCTAGTGTTTCTGGAAGGAAGAGGGCGGAAATGCCAGAGATGATGGGAGTGGCGCCGAAGATCACTAGAGGCAAGAAAGGGTGGGAGTCGCCAGTCATCAGTATCAGCGGGGCTACGAGGCCACCCAAGCGAGCCATCATAGTGATGAAGCTGATGCCCGTTTGCCTGGCGAGGGAAGCAGGACGGGAAGAAAGCAGGTTCAGAGGGTCAAACTTATATCTATAATCTCTCTCTCTCTCTCTCTCTCTCTTTCTCTCTCTCTCTCACTCACTCACTCACTCACTCACTCACTCACTCACTCACTCACTCACTCACTCATCTTGCTTTCTAAATCAATTAACACTGGAGTCCCGAAGGCAGTTTGTGTTGTTCTGCCAACACCTGCGACGTTGCTGGAACCAGTTGTATTGGCTCTTGCCTTTCCATTGAACTATTTCAGCAACGTGGAGAGGGGGGATCTGCTGCTTGGTTAACAGCCTATCCTCCATATTCCTTTACTCAGACTTCACGCTCTGCAGAGGACACTCCTCGATTCAGAGCATGTTACCATAGTCTCCCGAGACTGAAGGATGCCTATGATGATGATAACCAGTCCTAACTGGTTTTTTTAATCTCTGTAAGGATTAGGTCTTTTGTTAGGCTAAGGGATCTTGATTGCTCATTCAGGACCTCCAAATATTTTGCATGACACCCGGGATAGGTTGGCACAAAAACAGACCATTGCCAAAAGACCAATACATTCTCTTCTTGGGTATGGTAAGGATTGTTGCCAAGCTGGAAAGGCGAAGGGGGAAATGGGTCATATGGCAGATAAAAGGGAATGCCTCTTTTAGCCAGGAAATGCTGGTGCTTTGACCCCATGAGCCATGTTCCACTGCAACATGGACCCCACATTATTTCCCCCAACATTTTTCTCTCTCTTTCATGAGATACCTGACCTCCTGCATCTGGGAAGGGGTGGTGTTTGTCTGAATGTAAGATGCCAGACAAGTGTGCAAACTCAACCAGTTCCCAGAACTCGGCCGGAATCCACACCACACAGCATTTTAAGAATCTTACAAAGCAGAATTCCTCTAGGACGTTGTTAGAGAGCAGCCGCTCCTAGACTGTGGAATTCTTTGCCCTGGAGTCTGGGTTGGCACCTTCTTTGGCACCATCGCACCCTATGGCTGAGATCTTCCTGTTTAGACAAGCAAGTGCTTTATGAGATTTTTATCTAGTGTTGCAACTACCGTGCCAGTTTTTTATTACAGGACTGTTGTTGATTTTTTAAAAATTGCCTTTATGAGTGGTTTTCACTGCTAGTAGTTACCCTGTATAATCTGTAAGTGCCAAAAAGCACCTTCTTTGGCACCATCGCACCCTATGGCTGAGATCTTCCTGTTTAGACAAGCAAGTGCTTTATGAGATTTTTATCTAGTGTTGCAACTACCGTGCCAGTTTTTTATTACAGGACTGTTGTTGATTTTTTAAAAATTGCCTTTATGAGTGGTTTTCACTGCTAGTAGTTACCCTGTATAATCTGTAAGTGCCAAAAAGGGGAGACTGAGGCTGTAAGCAAGGTGGAAGAACTGAGGCTTCCTGCCCCCCCCCCACTGCCCGGGGCCAACATTTACAGGCACCAAAATATAGAGGCAAATCTCCTAGCAAGGATAATCTGTAAGTGCCAAAAAGGGGAGACTGAGGCTGTAAGCAAGGTGGAAAAACTGAGGCTTCCCGCCCCCCCACCACCACCGCCCCGGGGCCAACATTTACAGACACCAAAATATAGGGGCAAATCTCCTAGCAAGTGTTAAGAAAATCAATGGCAGTACTTCCTCGTTCTATTCAGCTCTGTATTCCACAAAAGCCTGTCAAATCCTTTCTAAACCCCTTTGTGGTTTTAGCGACAAAGTAGTGATTTATTGGCAAACAGAAAATTGGGGTGATCTGGGGAACACGGGGTGCAATGTGCTAATTGTCGACAGAAGTTGCTATCACTCTTCCTTATAGCCCTCTCACCCAGGCAATAAGGCTCTGAGTGGATCAGGCCTCGTGTGTCAAGACAGCCGCACACCCGAGTCTCCTTGGGGGGCTCCTTGGGCTTACCTGATGACTGTCGGGAAGAGCTCCCCACCGTAGAGACTGAGGCACATGGAGGAGGCTGCAAGGCCCCCCTTACCCAGCACCACGAGGACCAGCCTCGCCGTCAACATGTCTAGGACCGAAAAGAGAGAGGGAGGGACAGTCAGATTAAGAATGCCAGCATGATAGCCTCCAAATCCTTTCTCGATCAGTAGCGACCCTGCCTCCGAGGTAGGCAAGCCGACAATTGTGAGATTCAGTGCCTGCTGCGCCACGTTTCCCTCACTGGAAATGGGAGGTTGAGGGTAGGGGAACAGAAGCCTCTGCCTCCATGGCTTGCTCTGCTTGGTCCTCCTCATGGTTCCTCCCGCTGGAATGAGCTTCGCGCAGACGTTCACCAGGCACCAACCCTCTCCGTTTTTAGGAAGCTAATCAAGACAGAACTATATACTATGGATAGCTACCTTCTACTAGTGTCAAACCAGATGTCTAAATGTGTTTGAATCTTCATAGTTCTATTTAAAAGTAGGTGTATTGGTTTAGGGAGCAACAGGGTCTTTATTGTATTTTTATCGTGTTTATTGTATATGATGATTTTTTTTTAATGGTATAGTTTTATTGGTATGTTGTGAAGTGCCCAGAGAGTGTTCGCAATAATGGGATGACACAGAAGTGGAAACAAACCAATAATAATGTTTTGTGTTGTTGGGATCATCATAACACCTCAACCGGAGGCTGGTGACATTTAATACTAATTGGGTTTCTTCCAACAGAATCCGGATCTGAAACTGTTGTTCGATTTTTAAAACTCCCCGTGAACAGCAAAGCTTGGCAGCGACTCCGTGAAAGACAGACCGCATGCTTCACAACAGAGCTGCTGATTAAATGTATGAGCACAAACTTAATGCGGGACTTCAGCAGTGACTGGGGATGTGGTGGCGCTGCGGGCTAAACCGCAGAAGCCTATGCTGCAGGGTCAGAAGACCAAGCAGTCGTAAGATCGAATCCACGCGATGGAGTGAGCTCCCGTCGCTGGTCCCAGCTCCCGCCAACCTAGCGGTTTGAAAGCATGCAAATGTAAGTAGATAAATAGGGACCACCTCGGTGGGACGGTAACAGCGTTCCGTGTCTAGTCGCACTGGCCATGTGACCACGGAAAGATTGTCTTCGGACAAACGCTGGCTCTATGGCTTGGAAATGGGGATGAGCACCGCCCCCTAGAGTCGAACACGACTGGACAAAAATTGTCAAGGGGAACCTTTACCTTTTTTAGCCTGCCCCTCCTTCTAGGGAGACCCTTTGCTTTTATTTCAAGGGGAACCTTTACCTTTTTTACCTCAGCAGTGACCAGCTGCTCACTAAAAAGCCTGTCCCTTCTTCTAGGGAGACCCTTTGCTTTTATAAACATTTTTGAAATAAGACCTAGCATCTTCAAGGACCTTTCCTGAGCCTGGAGAGAATACAGAGGTTTGGCCTGCCTGATCAAACCTTTCCAAACCCCAAATCTTAAGTGGCTGCTTTCCTAGCCCAACCCTATTTAACTTCACATCTACCCCTAGCCCTAACTTGTTCCTTTATGAACCCAGCCCTATCTATCTGGCTGGCTTTCCAACCATGGTCTAAACCTTGCCTGATGCTTGAATGTGTTGGGCAACACATTCTAAATCTCCTTCTCTCACCAGATTGACGGTGGCAGTGCCATGATGCAATTTGGGAAGAAGCTCCAGGAAGATGGGCAATTAATTGTGACCATCCTACTTGGAATTTCCAGTTGAAGAAAATCACATCACAGGTGATTAGAAACTTTCCTCTCGGTCTGCAGCCGTGGCAAGCCCCTGGCAGTCACAGCAGACCATACTGGGCGAGGAGGGCAGACAGTTTTGCCCAGTAACCTCAGCTGTATCAGTGGAGAGACCATAGCTCAGGGGTAGAGCAGTAGAGCTTCCTCAGGCCTTTCATGCCAGAGGAGAGCTGCTGGCAGTGAGGAGAGAAACAAGCAAACTGGGCCGGTCTGCAATTAGAAGTAGAACTGTCCGGGGAATTAAAAGTGTTTGATTATCCTGCAGTGCTGATTTGCAACATTGCACGTTGCACATCAGATGTGCTTTTCTTTGGCAGTTGGTCAGCAGGAGGAAATGACAATACAGTATGTAGCTCAGAGAGAGGTACCTCTGCAAGGATAACGTTGATCACCTCCTGTATGTGAAGATCTCCCATTGTCTGTTTTTGTCCTCAGTAAGTAGATGATGCTGGGGTCGACGGACAAGGGGCCTGCCTATGAGGAAGTGTCCAAGGTTCCTGTATAAACCGTCCCTTTATGAGGACTGGAAACTTACTTTATGGTACCAGGAGGTCTGTAGCTCCACGACAAGAGTTCTGCCTGTGATGTCTCCCCAAGCGGGGCTGGGGACGAATCCTGCTTTCAGTTCTGGGGATTTTACTGTCGGCCAGTCTTACCAGAGGGCACGGGAAGGCTGACCAGGAGGAGAATTCCAGCAAAGAGGAGGGAGGCGACTTGGAGGGTACGTCGGCCAAGCAAGGTCAGCATCAAGGCGCAACCCATCTTAGCCACCAGATCCGTCGCCCCGAAGAACAGCTGCACCAGGAAGATGTTGAGGCCGAACACAGAGAGGTCCATGGACAAGCCAAAGAATGCCATGTTAATGGAGAAGCTGAAGAGAGAGAAGGGTTCAGTCCAGCGGGCGGGGGAAGGTAATAATGGCACCTCCCTCAAAGAAACTAGTTAATTTACAGCAGTTTTTAAAAAAAAACACCCCAGTTTCTCAAAATAACAATACATGTACTGGAATTCTGGAAACTATTGGAATGCTACAAACTCCTGGTTTGCACTTGGAAAAAAAAATCTCTTCTTCTATACACTTTTTTAATTATCTCACTTGCACCACGAGAAATTTCTCTTATACTGTTAGGGAATCCCAACCCCACAGTGATAAAAGTGACTGTAAAAAGTAATGAACTGATCCTTTCTTGAGTTCTAAGAAGGCAAGCCATTCCACTATCAAAAAAAACACTTCCTGTCTAAAAATTCTTCCTAATGTTTAGGCAAAATCTCCTTGCTTGTAATCTGAATCCAACATGTCAGGTTCTACCCTTTTGGCGCTTTGTTGTAGCTCTGTTAGCTGAGAAAGTATCAATGTAAATGAGATGTTCAAAAGCAACATCCTCTCCTTTAAAGTTCAAAGTGGTACCATCCTTTCCATCACCTTGGGACACTATGCTGGGGATATTTACCCAGAATTTGAATGGCTATTCTTCTGTGCTATTGCAAGACTCCTACAGTAAGCAGAAGGCTGGTCTTGCCAGGCCTCTGTTCAGCACTGGTTAGACCTCATATACTGTGTCCAGTTCTGGACACGGAT